ACAATCCAGCTAGCCTCCACTCACAGTTGGTACTCATAATACGCTACACCATCTGAATTAGGATGTTTGCTAAACAATATATCCTGCAGCTGTGTGCATTGTCCACTGTATAGTCTCATACTGATTTACTGTGCATAATACTGGGTGTTATATACCCCACAGTTTGCGCATATGTATCTACAATATGCTTGGTGCTCACAAGTGCTGTCTAAACAGAATATTATGAGACATATGTAAAAACAACTTGCATGTCAGAGATAGACAGAATGGGGCAGGCCGATAAGGAAACAGAGAGCAAGGCTGATTTGTAGGCATGCTATGTGTGGGCATCTTTAAGAGAGCAGCATCTTCTCATTCCATTGGATGAAGTGAGAGGCAAGGCTGTATTCTGTACCTGTCCTACTCTGCACCAGTCTGTCACCACCCCCATCATCACCATCACCACGTACCACATATACAGCATCAGCAGGAGAATGCGCGAAACAGCATGACCACGTAGATGTAGTGTGTGACTGACTCAGCCCTGGCTGGCATGGCTGCCATTGTTGGAGCAAAGCGCAACAGATTCACAATGCAAAAATGGAATGTTTAATAAATTTCTAATGTGTGAAAGTTAAACATTTTGCTACAAGATCAAAAGACACCTTGTCTCATGCTGAGCAACTTTTGTGACCAAGGTGAATATAGCAAATGATTAAAGAAATTCTTCAACTTCAGCGAAGTCTAAGGAAGGAAGGAAGAGGAGGAGCTCAATGAGGTCTCTGTTGAAACTTCCCCTTCTTCTTTGTGAGCCAGTAACCGTTAAGCCATAAAACGCTTGAGATTAAATGTGTCTGACCCCCAAAACTTGATTACAGGCACAAAGCCTGTAATTCTGCAGACTGGACATATTGCACTATTCAGTTTAGATGTGTCCACAGTAATGCCCTCGTTGAAGCATAACGAATAGGTGAATGTCTATCTGTGTCTGGATGCACCCAGGGAAGGTAAACACACCTGGTAGCCACTGTTTTGGACTTTTAGGACCTTCCTTATTATTATTAGGATATTATTGCCAGTGCCCCCCCGGCCCCAATGGCTTAAACTATCTGGCTCCGCCACTGGCTCTGCTTCCCTCACAAGTGAACGCAGCCGGGTGACATCCTCTCTCTCTCTCTCTCCTCCTCCTCCTCCTTCTTCTTCCTCCTCACTTCAGCTCGGTCTGTTTCGCACTAGCCTTCTCTTCATCTGCCAGCCACTGGATACCGCACCGTTTCCTCCGTAGGTACAGATAACATATATCAGCCATCTGTATTTGTAAAGATGTATCTGTTGTGCTTGTTTTCAGGTACTTTTACTTGCGCGGTTCCGGGCTGCTGAGAGAGACGCGTGCCGAGCGTCTGAGCAATAATGGATGCTCCGAGTTGAAAAGCCCGCTGAAGGGCGTTAGGCTAACTTATGGCTTAACTGCTAAACGGAATGTCATTGTGAGGTGGTAACATGAATGCGCAGCCTACGTTTAGATAGTTTAAAGACTGTCAAGTAGTCCTCTTAGGCAGCACACTGTTTTCTTTTAATTAATCTGCGTGCGAAATTTCGGTTATATCAGCCGCTTAATAGTCAACGTCAGTACCATGTGTACAAACTGCACTTTGTTAGCTCATTAAGCTAACATTAGCTGTGATGTAGCTAACCTTAGCGTTATAAATAATAGTGTTGGACTGTTCCACCTCTGTTGACTCCACGTATCCGCGTTCAAGACCAAAAGTAACTCAACTATACTCTGTTTGAGGGTGATTTGTGTATTTGTGGCCAACTTCTATTATGTCATACAAACAGGACACCGGTTAAAACTACTCCTATCTGAGCTGTATTTATATTATTTCCATATCTGAACCTTGCTCATCGGTAAAATTTCCTAGCCAACCAACCAACTAACTACCTAACTTTACAGTCTGTTCTCGCCGTGGCTCAGCATCACTAGACTCAAGGACGACGGCTAGGAACAGGCCCGGCCTGTTACGTAACCCCAGAGGAACCATTAAAAGCAACAGCAGGAAATCTATAACAATAAATAGCTCGTAGGAGGCTAAAATTGTGCATCGTGTTGTTCGGTAGCATTGTTGTATCTCGAAGTTAGCCGAACAACCCAGTTTATAGAGCCACGAGGTGTGTCCCTTTAGAGACACAAACCACCTCCCACAGTCTGTTTCAAGTGTGTGTTTGACCTTGGCCTGATATCCGCACTTGGCAGCCTGTACACGCAGGCTAAACGTTGGAGGACCAAAGGAGCTCACAGGGTTTTGTTCTTTATGCATAAGGATACCAGAGGCCCTGGGACCTTCAGGGACCTCTGTTGGGGTCCCTGGCTGTCCTGATCAATTAACGTTAGTTTAGTTTGGTTTTCTTTCTCACAATGTATCACTATCTGTAGCTGTCAATTTTACCGTTAATTGTTTAATGGTATATTTTATCTAACAGTAATAAATGCAGTTTAACAGATAAAGTTTTATAATAGCACATGGCCTGGGGAAGCCCTGGTTTTAGCTGTGCTCTATTTTTTGTAAACAGCACCTCCCTTTGTCTGTCATTTGAAGTGTACCTAATTTTGACCTGGGTATGAAGCCTTAGCTGTTGCTTCAAGTGATTTACTGACATCTGAACAGAATTGTGCAGATTAATACCAAGTCATTGTATTGCATGCACAAAGTAGATAGTGAGATTCATTATGCTTCTTTCATTGGCTGTTTTAAAGTGCCTTAGGTTTTGTGATTTAGCTTTTGTGTCACCTATGTATTTACTTTATATTTCATTTATAATGTGTGACATTTGTGTGGACAGCTAAGTAAGAATTTCATTGTACAGGGAAACGCGTTTCTTCACTGTGCATATAACAATAAACACTTGACTTGACTTGTACCAATTTCAATATATTTGCTTCTAACACCATACACAGTGCCTACAACAGTTGGATAAAAATTGCACAACCACTGCTGTTTCGCAGTGTTGAAACAAACAAGTCAGTTGATTTAATAACTTGTATACATCATGTTATAACAATTGGTTAACTTGAAAATTGGTCCATGGATTCACTTATGACAGTAATAGTCTGGTTTTTGTTCTTGTGTTAGTTGAAATACAGTATGCCAGCTGTTGTTAAAGACTGTGAAACCCCCTGAAGGTTGGAGGCTGCATAGTAAATGATACGTTTAGGTGTTTTCAAGATTAAAGCAGAGGTTTAATTCTTGTTTTGTGCTGTGAGACCTGCTCACCAGGACTTGTCATCTCTGTGTCTCCCTGCAGTGGTAATCATGTCCTCAGTAATGCAGAAGCTGATCAGCCCTCAGGCTTGCACCGCTGCTGAGCCTCCCAGGAACAAGGTGACGGTAGTTGGCGTGGGCCAGGTGGGGATGGCCTGTGCCATCAGCATCCTGCTGCGGGTAAGACTCACAACAGTCTGCAAGAGGCATGTACAGTATTCTGAAAGGAAGGGACAAAATAAAATCCTAGTTACAAAACTTTACAAAAATCTTATTAGATTTGGTGACGTTCCTCTTTAAAATCACACAGTTACTATGCTAATGATATTTCTCACTAGAACTTTCTAAACTGTACTAATAATCTTTTTAGAAGCCAGTCGCTATAGTTTTTTTAAATACTTGGAAGTTGCTCATAAATGGTTGTAGCCTCATGCAGTTCAATCAAATCATTAGTGAGGCTGTCCAGTGCTGGACTATTCCTACTTATTTATTTTTATTTCATTGTGTTATTTGCGTTGTTTTTGGATGTGATTGCTACTGCACGGACATACTGAATGTATAGCAAATTGCCCCTCATGGACAAAAAAGTATTGATTGAATCTGTAGATTCCATTTTATTTTTGTGTAACTTAAAATTGTGGAAACATATTTTCATCTTTGATAATACCTTACAGTGAAAACCCTATTGACAATAATTTCTGAAAAATAAATGTGGTATTTATAATGAATAAATCAATCTCTTACATTCACTGTTTTCCATATCCTCTGGTCAGGACCTGTGTGATGAGCTGGCTCTGGTGGATGTGGTTGTGGATCGTCTGCAAGGAGAAATGTTGGACTTGCAGCATGGCAGCCTCTTCCTCAAGACCTCAAAGATAGTCGCTGACAAAGGTCTGGACCCACAGTTCTTTTCTTTCCCTGATGAAAGACGTTTCTTAATATTACTCATCAGCTCTGAATTCACTTGTTACGGTCTTACAGCTGCCCACCTCTTGGAGCACAGACAAAAGAAAAGATATGAAAACATCTCTGACATGAAATCAGCCACTAACTGCTGTTATCTGCATGATCAGTGCCTGTGTCTTTGTTTAACAGCGGGAGTGCTTCTATTTCTAGAGGCCACGAATGATTACCGTTTTAGTGGCTCCTTTAATGGCCCATGTGGGAATGTAACCTCCAGCCCTGTCAGCTTTAACACAAGCTTCACTTACTGACTAACATGCATCAAGGGCACCGTATCAAAGACACTTGTCTCAGTTCTGTCATTCACTGTACGTTAGAGTTCTCTGCTTTTTACTTCAACTACACAAATAAGTGATAATAAAATTTCTTCTGCCCTCCTCCCCCAGACTATGCAGTGACAGCCAACTCTCGTGTGGTTGTGGTGACGGCTGGTGTCCGTCAGCAGGAGGGTGAGAGCCGTCTCAACCTAGTGCAGAGGAACGTCAACGTCTTCAAGTCCATTGTCCCACAGATCGTCAAGTACAGCCCCAACTGCACGATACTTGTGGTCTCCAACCCTGGTGAATACACGAATACGGTTATCATCTTTTGGGATGTTTTTGTGTGTTTTTCTGTATGTTACATATCAATAACCTGGGTGAAACGCACCTTCCACAGTTGATGTGCTGACCTACGTCACCTGGAAGCTGAGTGGTCTGCCCAAGCACCGTGTCATTGGCAGCGGCACCAACCTGGACTCGGCCCGCTTTCGGCAAATGATGGCCGAACGCCTCGGCATCCACGCCAGCTCCTTCAATGGCTGGGTTCTGGGCGAGCATGGAGACACCAGTGGTGGGTGCACACAGAAAATGCAGTCAGTTATGACTCAAGGATCATGGGAATATTTACCCACAGTGTTGTCTGCAGGGCGTCGCTCATGGGAGTTTGTCTGTTGAAGCTGCACAGGAAAAGCGAATAGCATTTTAAATGAACTTATGTGCTTTTCCTTTCTTTATTCTAGTGCCTGTGTGGAGCGGTGTGAATGTGGCAGGAGTCAACCTGCAGAAGCTGAATCCTGAAATTGGTACTGATGCTGATAAGGAACACTGGAAAGCCACACACAAAGCTGTGGTGGACAGGTACACAGTGAGCGACTGAGAGAACAGGAATTATGATCAGATGTCAAACAGTTAGGACTGAGAATCAGGAATCTCTCCCAAATGTAGGGTAGGTCTGTGCCATCCAATTATGAAATTGGAAGAAAAGGTATGAATTAAAACAAAGTAATTGCTCAGGAGGACAGTGAGCCATCAGGCAACAGGTCTCATCAAGTAAGACTTGTCCTAAAAGTGCACCTACCTTCAGACTGAGAGCCCGGCATCACAGTGGCCACGCTGCGCCCGGCAACACAGCGGCCACACTGGGCACGCTGAGCCCGGCATCACAGTGGCCTGCCTTCTAAATGCCCAGTGTGTCCGAGGCAGGATCGGGGTTGTCTAGGTGATAAACAGCCTGATAATTGACCTCTTGACAAAATGGTTCTGCCTGTCAGCCCACACTTGGGACAATCCCTACAGTACACTGATTGATAAGGCAAGATGTCTGGTTTTATATTTTACATTCAAAGCCCTTAGTACAGTCAGTCAGTGCTGACTGGGCATATTTACAATAATTATCTACTGAACATAACGGAGCTGTCTTTGGCTTGGCATTGGCAGGTTTTGGGCCAGTGTTCTGTTTGTGCAATGAAATGTTTTGTTTAGAACCAACACCGTCTCTTGCACTGTGCTGTATTGTGCATATGCACGTGACTTCTCTTTGACACTATATTTGAGAAGTGTAGATTGGGCTCAGTATAAAGCAGTTGTCATTATCATGACATGTTGTCTTGATAGGGTTGCAATGACAAGAAAAAGCATGTGAACATGTCATGAGCTCACAAGTACAGGCAAACCTATTATGATTAAGCTCAGTTATCTTTACTGAATAAACCCATTAAACATTAACAGTGCTGGTGGGAAAAACTGAATATGTGGTTGAACCACCTTTGGCAGCAGTGACCTGTTGTGAATGGCTCTCCTTAGGTCATTCCACAGCATCTCCACTGGGTTAAGGTCTGAGCTCTGATTGGGCCACTGTGTTTGAAGTCAGCCTGCAGTACATTTACTTTGATTTTTGGGATTGTTGTCTTGCTGCAGCACTAACATCTAATGAGCTTCAGCTGGTGGACAGATCTGATATTATCCTGGACATTGATGAACTTGGGAATTAGTTTTTCCCTTGATGTTGTCTGCTGTCCAGGTTCAGATTTGTCAACACAGCCCATACGTGCATGTTCTTGCCAGATAACTGAACAGATCATTAGAGACACCATGCAGTGTATAGCAGCCAGTCCATAGCAGGTCAACAGTGTACACCACTACAAAGGCAGACATTTTGTTAACAAAGCACTGTGTTGTGTTTTAGTGCCTATGAGGTGATCAGGCTGAAGGGATACACTAACTGGGCCATTGGTCTGAGTGTGGCCGACCTGACTGAGAGCATCATCATGAACATGTCCCGGGTCCACCCTGTCTCCACCATGGTCAAGGTCAGACACGCGCACAAGCATGCTTGTCCTTCTGTAGTTGTGAGGACACTCACTGATATAATGGGTTCCCTGACCCCTTACCCCAGCATCACAACTAAGTCTAGCCTTGCACCCAACTGAAAGAGTAAATAAAATAGCTATTGCTTATGGGGGCCATGATTACATGATTATTTTTGTACTTGTAATCACATGATCACAGCCATCATTCATTCTTTGCCGTGATTTCTCTTTGACACTAGACACTGAGAATCAAAGTCTGAGAGCAGCACTTCTCACAGACATTGACTTGTTTTTCTATGAACAAACTGCTCTAAGAGTAATGTAAAAGATGCAGAAATCACAATCTTGAAGTCTCAGGATCATATATTTGACACATAGGGGTTTAAAAACAGGCAAGGTTGAATATGCCTTTAACACTGTTTGTGCAAACCTTTGTGTGATGCTTTGACCCAGCTCTTTGTGTATGTGTATGTATTTCCACAGGGCATGTTTGGCATTGGTGAGGAGGTCTTCTTGTCTCTGCCCTGCGTGCTAAATGGCAGTGGCGTGAACAGCGTGATCAACATGACCCTGACAGACAGCGAGGTGGCCCAGCTGAAAAAGAGCGCTGACACTCTGTGGGGCATCCAGAAGGACCTCAAGGATGTTTGAACACAGCTGTGATGCAGAGAGGCCTGTCGACACACACACTCCCTTTATTTACACACTCCCTCTTGTATCGTGTAACTCTTATTTTAAAGGATATCAGTGTTCTTATTAACACAATTAATCTTACATGACTGTCATTGGCCTTGATTTGACTGTTTTCACATCAGTTCTGCATTTTGCTGACACCTCTAAGTGTAAAAACACTGGTATGCTCCTTTAAAAATAACCACATGCTCCAAACAGCCAGTAGACCGAAGTGGCTCTCTTACTGTTTGTGTTAGGACCTGTGTTACTGTACTCTGTATGGATTCTTGTGTTTCAGCTGTTTGGAGCAGGATCAAACACAACCCTTAAATTGCCAGAAGTGTCACAGTCCTCACTGTACTGACTTGTTCATTTAGTTCCCTTTAGGGAATCACTTAGAGACCCCAAACCTCTAGAGAGAGACCCTAAAAATCCTTCTGCTTTTGTCCAAAAGTGGTTTTCTGCAGCCGACAGCACAACTGGGTCGACATGGGTTGAACTTCAACCTTGTGAGTGTGAAGGTTCTTTTTCTTTGGTGTTGCCAAAGACGGAGGGGTAGGGGAGTGGTGAAAATGGCCAAATCTGTTGGGACGGGTATAAACTGTTGGAAAGAGCAACATATTCCTTAATAAAGTAAACATCATCAAGCTGTGTATGTTTTATTTTTTTCCAAAGAAGAATCTATTCATGATTAGAAAATGTATCTGTTTGTTTGTTTGTTTTTTAAATGTTAAACAGACGCCACCCGATGGACAGTAAGTTATTAAATGTTACCCAAAGGCTCTGAACCACCATGACCTTTTACAGCATCTGAAATAAACAATCAACTGCTCATGCACAAAATCTGCGGATACTGGGGGGGTTTAACTGTTTTGTAATGTGGAAATGTGTCACCCAGGGCAGAGGTGTGTTTCACTGACTAATAATTTTTGAACAGCAATGGTAATCTATGGCACAGACCAGTAAACGAATCCAGGACTAGGAGACATTATCCATGAGTAGAGGCAAATTGTTTTTGGTCTCAGTATGGGGACTGTTGAATACTGTTAGTATAGAAATCGACCAACCTTATCCTTTGTCTCATTTTTTTCCTGTTCAGTGTCTGTAACCATCACACAAAGAAGGTTATTGTTCTTCTGCACCCTTTTGGTACACATAAGGGTAACTTTTAAATAAAATCTGTGCATGCATGGCAGTTCAGAACATTAGTGGTGTTCACCCCTGAGCAACACCACAGAAAAATCAGATTTGGGCCATTTTAACAGGCAATGTGAATGCAGCCCTCTTTCATCAGATACGTAATACACTTGTGGTAATAAGTAGAAATGGAAAATAATATACAACATTAAGTGTTTATGTAAGAGGACCCTGATACATCATGAAACAAAGTGAATCATCAGTATGAAAACACTGGATCTGAGTAAGAAATCGAATTGATCATGACCGTTTGTGATGTGGATGTAGATGCTGCAGTGAGGTGTGGTTGGACTAAGCCACTGCAGAATTATTCAGATACCACTTAACACTTTTTTACATTAAGGAGTTCATTGGACTGTTTAATGTGGACAAAATCAAAATGTTTATGTAATGCATTATGTTCCTTTGTAAATTTTAGTTTGAATGGCTCTTTGAACTCTTCCATTGTTTGTTTCACAGTAATTTGACAGTTAAGGTTAGTACAAAAGTTTTATTTAGGTAAATATCGTTTTATCTGAAGTAAAAGGTCTTTTTTTCTCTTCACATATGAAAGACAGCTGTGACATGTAGACTTTTTTTTCAATGGGACTCAAGTCCTCGGCGAAATGCTTCTTTTTCAGGTAGGCACCTCCAGTTCTCGCGTGAAGAGAGAAATGGGTGAAAACTTATTTGTCCTGGCTCTTTTAATGGCTCTTCTGTAAATGTAGCGTTTCCCGAAGCGGAGGCCAAACGGGTTCAAGTTGAATTTACTCCTGCGATCATTGCACAGGAGCTGCCGCTGGTCTTCATTCTCTCTCAGGGAGAAACATAAGTTGGGATCCTCCACCAGGATGTCTCCTGCAGTTGTCCTCCTGAGCGCAGAGACTGATCCTGAGGAGAAGGCAGAAATATCAGCTCCTTCCTCAAAGACAAGCAGCCTACTGCTGGAAGAACACATCAACACTCAGTAAAATTCACTGCCATGGTACAAATTTCAAACTGGTCCTCAAGCTGCTGGCAAAACGCGCACACGTTTCATTCCTCGTGGGGACTTCACAGTGACTTGCATTCATTTCCTTGAGACCTACAGAACTGTAACCTTAGTATAACACGTGGCCCCCACTAGGAAGGACGAGTCCCCCCAGTGTGAGTAATACCAGGCGCGCACACATACGCATATTATGGTAGGTTATGTACTGTATGTTGTATTATTTGCATCATTAGGCCTATAATTACTAACAATTGCGTTGTATATTTGAAAACCTTGGCGCTGAATGCTGTTGTAGCCGGTGGAGGTGGGGGTAACGCCTTTGTATACTATGGGATTGTCCGAGTTTAAACAGGAGATCAATTTAAGTGAACTCTGAAAATATAAAAAAGTAAGTAGGTGGCCCACCTGTTGCTCGCGTCCTCTGTGGGTCAGATCCTAACAGAGCTGCTCCGTCCTGACCAGCAATCAGCCCGCACACCACAACCAGAGCCACAAGTCTCATCTTTTAACACAAAGATTCAGATCCTCCCTCACTGTGTCCCAACAATACTGCTTAACGTGTTAATGCTCAGCTATTCCGCGGATTCTAACGCCTCCTGTTCATATTCAGCCCTCTTTTATGTTTCCACCAGGTGACCTCGCGCTCCAGCTCGCAGCCAATCACACGCGTCTGCGTCTCTGCGCCATAAACTGAATTCCCGGGTTGCAAGCGAGAGCAGACGTCTTTACTGCTCCTCTTGTCTGTTCTACGATTTTTCACATCTTCTGCATTTTCAAGTGTTGTACACGGTACTTTTTACCATACTGACTCTGAGAGACGAGACAGTCCAAGTAACTTCTAAACAGTGCTGATTTATTCAAAGGATCACAGGTAAAATTAACATTACACGCTCAGGTATCTTGCACCTCCAA